AGAATTCAAGCATAAATACAAAAAGCATGATGGCTCGAATCGGCTTCAATTTCCTCCGTGGTCAGCTAAGCGGGCGGCTGTGTGCTCTTGGCTGTTCGACGCCACTGCGTCGTCTATTGCTAGTATGCGTAGCTTCTTTGGGGGTCTAAGCCTGAGAAGAAAAAGAAGGGCAAGAAAAAGGGAACGACTAGCTAACTTGGAGCAAGATGCCAAAAAGGATCAAGGGCCAATATCCGATGCGTATGTTTTATGCTAGGTCATGGTTTGTCAGCGTATTGTATTATTGCAATATATATTTCAATCTCCACCTGCCTAATCAGCTTGTGCTCATTTTGTTCATTCTATCTTTATACTTACATTACAGCGAGGGAGTGGACAGAAAAAGAGGAAGCAGCGCCACCAAGAAACTGGTCGCCTATAATGTCATGAGCACGATTGAACACAATCACTTTTATGCGTGACGTGCGACCAAGATCGATCCTCAAATGGGGAAGCCATCAATGCACTGCCTGCAGAGCTGCAAGCGGAAGCAATGGAGATTGATGACGCTCCTATTCGGAGGAACGAACCATGGCCACATGGACGCCGCCGATTCTGGACGAAGGAGAGGAAACAACGGGCTGAAGCAGGCACATAGATGGCTCGCCAGAGCCAACATGCAGTTCGCAAGCCGCTGGTTTGCAGAGAGACAGCGTGTGAGTGACAAATAGACCCTCAGATGAAGCGAACAGGCTTGTATCAAGGCGATTGGGCTATGCTACATTGTTCGGATTGTGCTGCGGTTACACATTGTGGCACAACTCATTGCACAACGCTCGTTCATGTGCGTCAGGTGCGCTCGATGGCTTTCGGCTTTGGTGTCGTCTTCATTTTCTTCTGCGTTGCCTGCTTTGTTGTCGAGAACTCCTGGTCGTGATGCAGTCGGCTGCTTGTTCCACCACTCACGAACGTTGCGCTGGATAACAAGCGACGCTAGAGCATGTGCCTTCATGCGAGCAAAATTCTTGCGACAAAGCACCCCGCGTGTAGCGGCTTGCAGCTTTATTGCGACGTGCTTAGTTTGCAGGAAACTACGTCTGGCCAACATGGTCCGCGTCGCGGCCTGGACAGTTATGGCGGCTCGCTCACGTTCTGACCGCTTGTTTGTCTCTGTAGGAACGTGCTCCGTGTCTTCTTGCTGTTCGATACTTTGCGTGGCTTCACGAAGCTGGATGGTCGCCTCACGCATGTTCTTGCAATTCCGCTTGAGCAACCACGCGCGTACACCGTGCTGCAGCACTTTCACCTCGTCTTCCAGCAATTGTCTTTCTTCCGGGCCCATGAGTTCCATAGCTGCTTGAAGCTTGTTTAAACCTTCCTCGTCTTCAGCAATGACACTCTGAACATCCGAATCCTTTTGAGTGCCGGGTAGGACGAAGTGACCGTCAGCAAGGTCAGCAGCATCCATGCCAGCCATATTTGCCGGGGAAAGGCCAAAGCCCGCCGATACCTCTGAGCTGCTAGCGCTGGAAGAGATCAAAGGGTCTTCCTCCGCAATACTTTCATGGCGCCATGCCGCGTGGCCCGCCGATTCTCGTGAAATGCTCAGCGATAAAGCGCACTTGTCATGTAAGCTCATCGTGGAAAAAGCCCCGAGCAGAAGCTTACGGTTGTGTTCCTGCGTTTCTCCCATCTGCAAGGCAACGAAGCACACAAAACCCAATGAGCGATCCGATCCAGCTCAACAAGAGTACAGAATGGCCACCTACGCGCGAGACCGTTTTCGACGGTAAGCTTGCTCCGTAAGGACTCTTGCAGCTATTCGGGTACACATGAGGTGGTCCCACGGAAAATTCGGTGTCTTCAATGCCCTCCAAGAGGCCCATGTCTCCTGCATCCATGTAGGGTGTCGATATGCCATCTATCTCCATCAGCGTTCCGTATACTTCGTCGACGACACTCGCGTCGATGGGAGTACCATCTCCCATGCAGCGATACAGTTTGGCTGCAACATCCGCGTGACCGGATTTATCAGCACGATCAGCAGCAGTTAAGCCCTCGAAATCGAGGACTTGTAAATCGACCCCAGACTGCTGCAGTACATCGACCACTTCATCATGGCCACACCCTGCTGCCAAGTGAAGCGCTGTTTGCCCCTGGGTACTTTGCTGGTTGATCTGTGCGCCGTGAGCAAGCAGAAGAAGCACCAATTGAGAGTAATTGTAAAAGCTCACGTAGTGTAGTAAGCTTAAACCAGCCTCATCTAGCGAGTTAAGCTCTTCCAGCAGCTCTTCACTTGTGTATGCAACTGTTACAAGCTGACGTACGACACGCTCGAGTAGTTTTTCGGACAGCTGCTCCAACTCCTTGTCGCTCAGTGCTTCAATTGTACAGTCGTCCAACGAAGTCGATGTTGCGCCAAAAGAAGTTGACGAGACTGGCGGTCCAACACGTAAGCTTGACTGAGGAACCTGCTCACTCGAGATCTGTTCTCGACAGGACGATAAACACGCCCTTCCAGAAGGTTGTTCACTCCGTAGAGTTGATCCACCTCTCGCATCTGCAAATATGCCTTCCTCACCGCTATATCTGTCTGGGACACCAGAATCGATAGTCCCGACTGCAGACTCCACTGGTTTGGTCTGTATCACTTGGTGGAACTCGGACAATCGTTCGACAACTCGGATCTTGCACTGTCGTTCGTCCACTTGTCACACATCATACCGAGCAGTCAAAGCATAAGCTGTTGAGGCAAGTGGTAACTGAGCAAACAGTGGCATAAAAACTTACAATCCGACTCGACATATGTCGACAATGATCGATTCGATCCTAAAACATTGTTCAGCGGCCGTACGCATTCATCACCGGCAGAGGAATGAACAGCACGAGTTCGGCTTCGCTTGCCCATGCCGGAGGCGCTGTGTACAGCACGAGAAACTGACGCTTCGGAAAGGTCAATAGCCTGTTCATCTTTAGCTACTTGGTCCACCAGTGATGGGGACGCCCAGCGGTAACTTCGGTAGGTGAACTTTTTTTGCTGCGACAGTTGGAAAGCTTCCTGTTGCAGTGCTTCACGCCAGTGACACACGTACATGTGAACACTACCAGGATTTGTGCAACTAGGAACTGCATCAAAATGAAGCGCAGCAACGTCGTCAACAAGTTGTATCATACGTGAATGCCAATTACAAGGGAACGAGATAAGCACAGATACGTACCGATGCAACGTAAGACTGTATCCGAGACTATTTCTGCGCGAGTTCGTTTGGTACCAAACTGCACAAACAAATTCATGGTATCGTGTGCCACACTCTTTGGAAGACTAGCTGCAAGGCAGATTAAGACCTTGGCCCCACCATCTTCGAAGTCCCAGTCGGGTGAGAAATCAGAAATTTCAGCCAGCCTGAAGGTGCGCCGGCCTTTCGAGCCAGAGTTGCGCTCTCCTAAAGCAATGAGGCTATTCGGGTCATTTGTTTGTTCGTCTGCACAAAGTCCTGTGTTGGTTCCGTCCATGCTGTCCCCCTTCAGCGATGGAGAAATCGCATCAGAAGAGTCCATCGACGCAGTCCGCCATATCGTCGTTCGGGACCCTAGGTCCACACCAAGGCAGCCTAGACAAGAAGTTACAACGTAAGGCCGATGGTCAAATAACCACAAAAACACCGGACGCATATAGACACCGTCTGCGAACCATTCATGATAGACCCTTCTGTTTTGTCGGACGACACAAGTTTTTGTGAATACTGCCGCTGAGATGGTGGCATTGATACTGCAGAAACGGATAACGACCGATTTATTTCGTTCCGCGTCTTGGTTACATGTGTCGACACTGGACATCCCACGCATCCCTTGTTCATCTCGTCTAAGTAGTGAACAAGCACAATGTTCTTCATAGAGTCCCTCATGTAATAGATTCTTCGATGAAACGTCTGCAAGCAGCTCATCGTAAACAGCACACCAGTACCCTGGATAAATTCACACGCACAAACCTCTATTTTGTACTACAAAGAATCAACTTACAGAAATCTCGGCGGAATGCACATATGTTCCCAGGACAATGACCTCTCGGTTAATCACTAGCTTTGCTCGGTCCTCACGAACCTGCACGTCATACATAAGCAGGAGATCAGCACAACCTGGTATTCAAATCACTTTGTACTAACGCAACCAAATAGCACGCCATAACCACACAAGAATCGCCACCGCACCCGTCCACTCTTGTCTTTGCGCTTCTGCCAGTGCCAGCCATCTTTCTTGTATTCCGATACATCCAGTGTATTGTAGAACAACAAAGTGCCACCTGAACACGAATCAATAGGGTACCATAAGTTAGGGCGAATCTATCACTCAGATAAGGTTCAAATCGTCGAAAAGCTCCTTTATTCAACCATGCGACTGGAAGACGTACTTGGTGGTCGAAACTGCACCGAGCGGAGCAGCGGGACGGTCACTGTCTTGTAGTGCAACAAAAGGAACATTAACTCGTCTTTAACAAGCCATCGCCGCGTCGCTTCGTTGCACAGAAAGACCGCACGCGCTTGATTCATTCGCCGTCTTATAGCGTCGTGGGGTTTACGCGGCGGTCAATAGCGCAATAGCGCGAGGTCGCAGTGTCGCAGATTTGTTTTAATTGGGTTAAAACACAAAAAGGCGCGCAGCGATGGGCGATCGCCGAAAGAGTGTCATGTTGATGGCGAGTCCCTGTATTAGCGTTTTTACGAGTAAAACCAAGTCCGGGCTGAATACCAATGACCACATTGGTGCTCACGCAGAACCTCGAGCCATGTGATTTGCAGGCATATGCCAATATTAGCTACCGGATCATATCTCGACACGAGCATAACTTCGCTGGTGGAAGAGCTAATGTATTGCCAATAGATTCAGCTGTGATTGTCGTAGATAAATGCATCGGACTGGACCATAATTTTGTGTCCGGCGATAGGTCATGCTGCAACTCAAAGTGACGCCACGACCAACAGACGATTGCCGCACTCTTCAGCTCAAACTCCGATCGAGATCGACGCGTCGCCGCAAAACGCTGGGATGCTCCACACTGGCATGACCTTTTGTCAGTACATTACCGGAACGATCTCCACGCTGTCAGTAGTCCGGTTTGTTTGCTCTATTGTGAGAAGACGCTGCAGTGGTGAAGTCCACTTTTCCATCTCTCGTCTTCAGGCTTCCAAGTGAAACACACGACCAGGGGACACGCCCCCCGAAGTGGGCAATCTGAGCAGCTGCGCGCTGCTGCTTGCTTGCCATCTTCTTCTCATGCCAAGCAGAACGCTGGGGGGTCCTTCATCGTGTCCACTTGCCACGCAATGTTCGGCACACGCACCAACTTGGCCGTCGTAGGGGACGTAGCGTTCGCGTAAAGTTGCTGGTACATTGCAATGGTGGCCACTTCTTCAATACCTGCGGCCGAGCCGATCCCGTCGACCTCGAGGCGCAACGCGTCTCCCATCAATGCAAAACCAATTTTTGTCAATTGCTCGAGGTTCCATAGCGCAAGTGTATTCCACGGCGACGTCAACCCGCTCAGTTCAATCGGCTGGCCGTCAGGGTCCGGCTGGAAGTCGTGGCCAGGCAGTGCCGCTCCCACCACAAGGTCGCGAGAGAGATCAAAGTGCAATCGTAGCGACTCCACGCTAGCCGCTTCCACGTCAATTTCCAGCGACTGCAAGAGCAAGGTATCGGCATTTGGAAACTGCTCGGCCGCAGTCCCAATCAACGCATTGAGGGCCGGCACGAAGTTCCCCCAATGCAACATGGGGATGACCTTGATGTGACCGAGAAACGCCCGTGCACTCGTCGCACTCTGCAGTTGGGCAAAGAACTCGCGCACTGACGCAATGAAGTCGTCAGTTGGTGTTGACGCGTCTCCCTCCGCTAATCGAGTGGCTGTGATGGATCCGGCCATGGCGACGGGAAGACCGACAGCGAGCAGGATCCCGCCATCGGCGTACGTGGCTGCCCGAGTGCAGAATGCAAGCACTTGGTTCAGCACCTTGACGACGTCGATGCGCTCGTGCTGCGAGTGGCTGTGCCAATGGAGTCGCGTGCCCACCACGGTCTGACCCTTCATCGTTCCAACTTGACAACTCGTCTGATTCCGTTCTGAGAACCTGAAACGATATGCCAAAGTGAAAAGCGGTCTCATGGTCTCATGTGCAGGAAAATGGTTTAGGCGTCAGGACTTTAACTGGATATTTTGGCCAAGACCGGTGCCGAGACTGGATATTTAGGATCATCCCTAACTTTTTTATCTTGCTACCACTTTTGTATACTCACACTCATTGAGGCAGGAACTTCATCGAAATCCTTAATCTGATCGGCAGGTCGATCTCCTTGCTGGCATCATGCACTCGTGCAGAGGTTTGGGGTAGTATGGATGAATAGAAGCGTACGCTCTACATTTGATCGACTCGTACATTCGTTACAAGTTACTCAAAGAGATCTTTATTGCACCAGAAAGAGCACAAAAATAACCGGCAAACATGCCCACAAAGACGGCGCAGTCGGCGATAACCTGTGTGTTGTGTTGACTTCGGTAGGCATTCTTCACATCAACGTCGCGCGATCACAATGACCAAGTTCTGAAGCGCGGGAGCCGACACTGTGTACTAGTCGGTCTTTAGAGCTTGTGACGATTATTGTGATGGCACACAGCTATACCGACGTCAAAATACAAGGTGCACACTTGACGTAACTCATCTTCCATACATAAACACCAACATCCAGAAAGTTAGAGAGTATCAACAAGAGAACAGAGCACCATGTGAGAAAGACCAAATTGAAGAGAAACTGCACCATTCGTGTTTATCGATGACGTTGCGCCGACTGCAATTTGTAAAGCTCTACCCGAGCCTGCATCAGAGCAACGTCACTGAGGCTGGCTCAGGAAGTTTGCACCAGCCGGACTACTTGCCAGAAAGCTTTTGAGCAGACCGCATCCATATCTCCCGATCGCGGCAGTACTGCTTGTATTCGCTTATCATTTCGTCAACGTAATCGGGGGCGCTGGAATCGGGGTGCGCTTCCTTACGCCACATCTTTTCCAATTCTTCAGGTGGCACTCTCATGCGCGCATACCTATCGAATTGCGCATCTTGGATCAAATTTGCAGTCGCGCGCGTTTCCGGCGAGCGCTTTGCCAGGAAGACCACGAATGCTGCATTGGCCTCGCCAACAAATTGCTCGAGGTAATTACGCAGGAACACGTCCAGCGTCTTACCAGTCAAGTTCGACAAAGATTTAGCGTCTACTGTTCTCACCAACCACTCTGCTAGCTCAGTTCGTCTTTTCTCGGCAGCATCCGCGTGAACATTAGCACTGGGAACTGATGGATATTCGGAAAGCCGTTCCCTCAGCTTTTCAACCTTTTCGATCCACGCTCCCGGTTGGTAAGAAGGATTGGTGTGCAGTCCTTCAGGCGGCAAATGAACAGAGTGGGTGATGGTCTCCAGTTCTTCAGCCAAGATACTCGGCCGATCGATCGGTACGCTTCGCTCTTCTTCCTCGTTTACATCGGCATCGTCGCGACGCAATTCCTTCTTCACAGTAGGAGGGTCGATGTTAGAACCAAGCGTTGTGACCCCTGCTTTGCCAAAACCCGAGGCGCGATCGGCATAATGAACAAGCAAACTACTGACAATGCCCGCGCGGAGATAGACAATTTTCATGCTGCAGCGGCAGGCAAGGAGGGAGTGGGCAAAGCACTTGGCGTAAAGAGCGCAAAGCGAGTTCTGAGCAAGCTGCACCGGATGTGCAGCGATATGGTACGGCAGCCTGATATGAGACATTGAAGGCACCACTTTTGCCAACCCACACGATTTGTAGTGGCTGTAATCTAATCTGATTCCCTTCCCGATCGGCAGCCGGCTGCAACAACAGACAGAGACGAGACCCTCCGGGGAGCCAGATAACTCGCCCCTTTTCCTTGGGCGGGAGGTCCCCAATAGTGGGACCAAGGTATAAGTGGGGCAGGGTTTATCCTCGCTGCGTGCGCTACGGGAGGCAACGCAGCGTGTGACTCGAGAGAGAAGCGGCTCGCAGGATATCCTAGTGCAGGGCACGTCGACGATGGATCGAAGTATCCTGCAAAAGAAGAAGGTCCTACTATTCACGGTCTGCCTACAACTCGCTGACACGTTCGCTGAGCACGAGCCCGGTCCCACGAAGAGAACTATTCCAAGACCGTGACGACCCCACCGGATGAGATCCAGTACCGGTTGTTTATGTACAGTAGCACCGAGGAAGCTGCCCTTCGTTCAGTGGTGCGTCTGGGCACATTTGAGCACGTTGTGAGCCCGAGCCGACCTGAAGAGCAAGAAGTCGACGACGAGGTGATGGCCAGGGATTAAGCCAAGATGGATAGTTGGACTACTGCAGTGGTAACAGGACTCCTAGTCAAGCGTCCTTTGTCTACTGAATCAATTACTCCGAGCGCGAGAGCAGCCCCGCCATCCGGTAGAGTGCACACAAGAATCTAAACCTGGACTTGACCAACGGATGGTCCACGGGACCTTTTGGGAGTGCCCCGCCGTGATGCCGGACGTCTTGGGCCAGCAGAATGAGAAAGCTAGGAGCAGTGAGACTGTGTCATGGTAGATGGCACGAGGTGGTCACCATACACCTACCAGACATCTTGCTCGTGGTAAGTAGCTGCAATACACGGTCTCAGCCTCCATAATTTAATCTGATTCACGATAAGGATGCTGTAAAAAGTAGGAGCTAAGTAAAGTAAATAACTTGTATATTACCGCGCACCAGACGCGTTTCGGCCCCGCCGCCGGGGCCTCATCAGTGGTTTGTCAATCTACATGTGAGAACTATCCATACGTCTAGCTGCCGTACGACCTATAATAATGCATAGAACCCTAAAGAACATTCTAGACATACCCTATCATGGGTCGAATCTCTGGAGTCGAATCCAGTGCATCAAGCACTTAAAACACTCCCCCTCGAAGACATGAGATGCAGACCACTTTGGTATCGACCCGCCTGTAATCCTCACTGCTGCATCCGTGCACCATGGGAATCTTGATTGAGTCTTGCCCCTGCGCTCCAGCCAACCTCGATGATACCGAGCGTTCCAGGTATTCCGGCTCCCCCATCGTCCAGCACCATGTCACATCTTGACATCTCGTAGTCGTCGTTCGCCTTGCATGTAGTTTCCACTTCTTCTTGACCACAAATACACTTGTCACCACTTGACTTGACTCTTCCTTCGATAGCACTCGCGCATTCAGACCATCTCGCGTCACCACCCTTGCACAAACCCTTTTCGACTGCACGCGCTTACCGTCAGATCCCAGTCCATGAATTCTTCGGCGCCGTTACATCGAGCGCCTTCTCTGACGGGGTGTCCCTCGCACAAGTTGGTCCTTGGTGAGGTGTCTGCAGCGAGCACTTGGGCTCATAACCTGTAAAAGTAGGAGCTAAGTAAAGTAAATAACTTGTATATTACCGCGCACCAGACGCGTTTCGGCCCCCCGCCGGGGGCCTCATCAGTGGTTTGTCAATCTACATGTGAGAACTATCCATACGTCTAGCTGCCGTACGACCTATAATAATGCATAGAACCCTAAAGAACATTCTAGACATACCCTATCATGGGTCGAATCTCTGGAGTCGAATCCAGTGCATCAAGCACTTACAACAGATGCAAGCTCTGAAGCTCGCTTTTTGTATTCAGTTCAAACAGCTGGACCAGGTACTGATAACTCACGATCCCGTTTTAGGTCGGTTGTGGCTAGGGAAAGGGTCGTACGCTGTTGATAAAGAGATGAAGGTACGGGTAGATTGTGTGTTACAGCTACTAGTTAAAACTACTACATCCCTCAAATATCTTAAATAGCGTGGTGAAGATATATTTTATGAATTTGCCGCGTTATAAGCTCAGTAAATTTCTCATTTTCTTATTTTTAAAAGAAAAAAGGCGTACACTAGCGGTTCCACTTCTAAACTTCATATAGCCATGTCCCAAGTACTGTCACCAATGCACAAAGGCTCGAGATTTACCAGCATATGACCAAGAATATAAAAAGGCGACAAAGTGTTCTGGCAGAGTGGGCTTCCAAGAAGATTTGAGCTCAGATCTTCCAGAACGCCGTCCTTGTCATAATCAAGAAGCGCACTATTCCAGAGTCTATGGCCGACAACGTACATTCCGCCAAAGGCCCGAGAGTCGCTCACAATCAAAATGGCTAAAAAGACCAGTAACTTCAATGCCAAACACGAAATGTTTCCCCAGTTGGAGAAATCATGAGCTCAAGGCCTAAGCGTTTTCAGAACGCCTTGGCCTATATGAGAACACCATCAAGCTCTTTAGTGGAAAGCCGCAACGCTTCCAGCAGCGAAACAAGTGGCGCAGCATCCGAAATTACGGCGATAGCGGGTTTAGCGAATGAGGAAGCCATGTGTAACGGGGTGAATCGTTACATAACAATTTATAAGAAATTGTTAATAGAATATAACTATAAGAGTTATATTCTCAGAATATTGTCATAAGGACAAATATTCTGTAGCACTTACGAGTAGTTCCTAATTGGTTGATATAGGCCATTATATCAACCAACGAAGACGCGCCACGACAGACGCACGCAATGAGTGGTGAGCAGATAATCAATTTACACATTTGTATTTAGACATAGTTAGATGAAGATAAATAGTGATTTATTGCAGACATTAACTATACTAAATACAGTTCTACTTTTACTTCTAACCAAGTACTCGCTTCTTCTTACCGTCTTCCTCTGCACGTACCAGTGTACGTGAAGTTACGAGGCACCGCCTTATTCTGTCATCGGAATAAGTAGCTTGTACTGTCACCAGTACAAGCTTCAGGGTGCCCCGTTACAACTTGCGTCGACCCGAAACCCGAAACCTTGAAGATTGACATCTCCAAGTATAGGGGAGTGGAAGAGGACTCCCTCTTGAGATGGTCCGTCGAATTGGATGACGACATAAGGGCGCGTCGCATCGACGACGGGGATATGCAAGCTGCATTTGCCCAGTCAAATCTGGCAGGACGTGCCAAGACTTGGGCACTGGGGCTCAAGTTGCACGACCTATATGCGTTTGGGTCGTTGGAAGTCTTCAAGTCGCGGCTCAGACAAACGTTTGAACCGCCTAGAGCTGAGTTCAGGGCTCGAACCGAACTCTTGAAGCTCAAACAGGGTAAGCGTGATGTGCACGCTTACGCACAACATGTACGACATCTCACGAGTTGTATAAGTTCCAATCCGGTGGATGAACACACGTTGGTTTCGGTGTTCATGCAGGGTCTTGAGGATGGTCCCGCCAAGACTCACCTCTTCCGACTTTACCTAGATTCACTAGAACAAGCCATTTACATTGCGGAGCAGGAAGACGTCAGTCTGAGACAGGCTCGCGCCAGCTCGACATCATATCGTCAACCGAGACGATATGACACGGAGGTCCAGAGCCGATGGAACTCTGTTATGTAGAGAGCGAGAAGGCTCGCTCTACAGACTACAAGAAGTTGCAGAGATGCAACAGATGTCAAAAGACAGGACACTACGCTTACGAGTGTAGTGCCCCTCGTCCAGTGTCTCGCGACACTGGGCGTAGTGACCGTCCACCCATGAGAAAGAGGCAGGGACACGGGTCCGCCGTTGGTGCAAAAACGCAACAACGGGATGGACCGTCAAAAATGGACAGGATCAGTAGGTGCGGAGCACCCTACTGGTCCAGCAACGTCAAGAGAATTTGTAGGCCTCTTGATGAAAGTTGCTCCCAACACACAAACGTTGTGCGTTGCTGCTCTAGGTAATGAGGATTCACTCATTACCTTGAAACTCGAAGTGACGAATAAGTTGTCCCTTCGAGCTCTAGTCGATTGTGGGGCGTCCAACAATTTTGTGCGACGCCAATCGCTAGAAGATGTTCACTTTAAGTTTGTTGAGTGTGACACACCTTCTATGAGGATGACGGTACGTCTTGCGAAAGGCGCATCCGTAACCGTCATGAAGCGTATAGCGAAGATTCACTATACGCTAGAAGATACTCAATGTGACGATGACTTTATCGTATTGGATTTGGATGACAAATTTGATGTCATCCTTAGATTACCGTGGCTCAGAAGGTACGAACCACGGGTAAACTGGCAACATCGGACAGTAACGATGCCTGCCGCTTGTTCATCAGATGGCCATCTGATGAACGTTTTGGAGCGTCCACAAGCGTGTGGATGTACTACGAGTGAGTGCGATGACCTCACTTGTGGTACGGTCGTTAGTACGACTGCACGAAACCTTAGTGTACCAAACGGTTACACTTCGGAGCAAAGTTCCGGCGGCTGTGAGGAAACACAGGCTGCGCCGAAGGTCCACCACTCGAATAAGTCGGGTGGACTGGGACAAAGATGTATCCCTAGCGGGGAACATCTAGAAGAGAAACAATCGATCGCTCAGGTTAAGCGAAACGATAATCCTAGATCGACTGGAGAGTCTTTCGTAGAGGATCTCGCTGTGGTTGCGCAACCCCAGCTAGAGGAAGTAATGGGAATAAGTCCCAAGATTACAAACACGGCGGAAATAAGTTCCCCGAAACCCGCGGGAATAAGTCCCCGGGAAGCCGAAGGAATAAGTCCTTCGAGGCCTGAGGGAATAAGTCCCCAGGAAATGACAGAGACATTGAATGTCCTAGTCAATGATGGATCAAGTGTAGGCGCTTATACACTTGATATGATTGCGCCTCCGAAGTTGACTTCGGAGATCACTCAGTTGCCAACGCTCGAACATAAAAGGTTCTTGCGTGATCTGCGTAGTGGCAAAGTCAAGCAGATCTGCGTACTCGTCGCCGACGACGAGTGTGTAACCAACATAAGGTCAGCAACAGTGTTTACTGAGAACGAGAGAGTTCTCAGTAGTTCATCTATGGACGAGAGTGTCCTCGATGAAAAGACACGAATTGAGCGATATGACTCCCAATCGTGGGAATCGCTCAAGAAAAATCCTCTCTATGAAGATTTGGTTGAATTCAAGGATGTATTCCCTGAAACTGTTCCGTGCGAATTACTGAAGGATAAAGGTACTCGACACGAGGTCGAGATTAAACCAGGCTCGAAGTACTGTGTCATGAAGCAGTGGCCACTGCCTCGTGAACAAGTACTTGCGATCGACAAGTTCTTTGCCGATCGTTTAGCTGCGGGCCATGTGAGGGAATCAACTTCCCCACATGGCTCTCCGACCTTCTGTGTGCGAAAAGCAACAGGAGGGTGGCGGATAGTGCACGCGTTTAACAAATTGAACGCTGCAACGGTACCGGCTCAGACGCCGATACCGAGGAAGGACGTAATCATTGATGGTATGTCAAAGAGTACCATCTTTTCGTCCATGGATTTGATGGATGGCTTCTATCAAATCCCTATGCGGAACGGGATATACCCTATACCGCAGTTAGCACGCCTAGCGGCATGCTCTGGGAATGGCTAGTAATGCCACAAGGGCTTAGTAATGCCCCTGCCACGTTCAACAGATGTGATATCACATCTGTTGAGACCAGTACGAGAATTCGCGCCGAGTTATTTCGATGACGTATTCATCCATAGTCGAGCTATGGATGGAAAGTCGGACGTTGAGGTTCACAGGTACCACGTCCGACAGGTTCTTACAATCATGCGAAAGCATCAATTGTATGCAAACCTCAAGAAGTGTATATTTGCAGCAAGCGAAATACCACTTCTTGGGTGCATCGTTGGTAAGAACGGTGTACGTCCTGATCCCGAAAAGATCAAGGCGATCACCGACTGGCCTGTGCCGGTTGATGTCAAAGGTCTTCGAATATTCCTTGGTCTAGCGGCGTGTTTGCATAAGTATTCACGCAATTACGCCGAGATGACTGTGCACCTCTCTCGTTTGTTGAAAAAGAACGAGAGGTGGTTATGGAACGCTGAATGTCAGCGCTCCTTTGATGGTATCAAGCAGAGCTTGATACAATCCCCAGTCCTAGCAATAGCCGATCAGGACAGGCCATTTCATGTGGTCTGTGATGCCAGCGATTTCGCAATCGGCTGTGCATTAATGCAGTACGACCTAGAAGGCGTTGAACGCGTCGTCTGCTATCAGTCGCGTCAGCTGCAACCAGCTGAGCGGAACTATCCAGTGCATGACAAGGAACTCCTTGCCATGAAGTATGCACTCGCGAAGTTCAGAGTCTATCTATTAGGAGATAGATCCTTCATTGTTTATACTGACCATGCGTCATTACGCACGGCAGTGAACAACCCGCACCTTTCGCAACGAATGGCGCGGTGGTTGTCATTCTTTGCAGAATACAACTTTACGGTAGAGTACAAATTAGGACGACTTAATGTCGTCGCTGATGCACTCTCACGTCGGCCCGACTTTGAATCAGTCGTGAAAACCAACAGTGAGACAGCCACTGTTGCGGTTATGACGTCCTCAATACCATCCTTAACGTTGCATGATGATGTGAGGCGGGCATACGCCCAAGATGGTGAGATAGTGAAGTTGTTGACACATCTCTCCCAACCATCTCGAGAATCGTTGAAACGATTGTCGCCTGCGTATCGATCTGCATCAGATCGATACACTACTCGCAACGGTTTACTGTATTATACAGCCGTTTCTGGTGACACACCACGTGTTGTCATTCCAGATGATACTGATCTGCGTTTGCGGATCATGTTCGAGTATCACGATGCTCCTATAGGGAGGACATCGTGGCCGGGAGAAAACATATCTCACGGTGAGCCGGGACTTTTACTGGCCCCGCCAGTATCAGTTTATGTGAAAGTATGTTCGCGCATGCGAAGTCTGCCAACGAGCGAAGTCAAGTCCTTCACTGCTTGCACCTTTACAGCCTCTACCGGTTCCGGCTGAGTGCTGGGAATCCATCTCAATGGATTTCGTCTTCGGGTTACCCAAAGACGCACGCGGGAATACGGGTATTCTCGTATTTGTTGACAGATTCAGCAAAATGGTACACCTTGTGGCTGTACCAGAGTCAATCACGGCAAGTGGCTGTGCTTGTGTCTTTATTGACACCATCTTCCGACTTCATGGTTTGCCCCGTGAACTCGTATCAGACAGAGATCCACGATTCACTGCTGATTTCTGGCGTTCCGTGTTCAAATCACTCGGAACGCGCTTGAAGATGTCGACATCTGATCATCCAGAGTCAGATGGTCAGACGGAACGTGCCAATCGTGTCCTTGAAGAGATACTTCGAGGATACGTACACTCCTTTAAGAGTTGGAGTGAGTTTTTGCCAATGGTAGAGTTTGCCATTAACAACTCGGTGCATGCGTCCACGACACACACACCGTTTTACGTGAATGGCTTACGCCATCCGCGTGTACCCACCTTACTAGAATGTAACTCTGGGTTAAGGGGGGGGACTCGCGCGAGCAAAAACCGAATTGTTCACGCTCATCACGCTCTGACGAAGAGGTCATTGCGTTTGATGCCGATATCGATAACATAGATATCGAAGAAAATGATGCCAGTGAGAGTGCGGAAGCCCTCACTGAAGAAGATGATGCCAGTGAGGTGCGGAAGCTTCACTGAAGAAAGGTTGATGTTGCTGCAGTGCGCTCACAGCGCACTGAAGCTAACGAGTCATCAGATGAGTTCATACTGGCTCGTGAAACGGTAGTCCGTTTTGTGCAAGACTCCATCGCCGAAGCGGTGGATAAGCAAAAGCAAAACGCTGACAAGAATGGAAGGGCAAACACCCTTTTATTTAATAAAGGTGACTTAGTCCTACTGTCTACGGTTAATCTACCAAAGCATGTAGTGACTAACTTGGGTAGCAGTAAACTACTACCCAAGTACATCGGCCCATTTCGTGTATTGCACCGCCTAGGCAATGCATACACGATCGAGTTACCACGTAAGATGCGAACGCATCCCACGTTTTACGTTGGTCGGCTTAAGCCGTACCATCAGTACGCTGCTTCTTCCGATGAAGAACGCCCTTGCGCTCAAGCATCTCGCAGAGAGCCTTGTGCTCCCGATGATGGGCATCAACAAGGGTCTGAAGAGCAGCTACCTCATCCCGAGACCGATCAACAATCTCACGAGCTACCCTTAGCTCGTCACGAAGAGATGTCAGAGATCTCTCTGTTATCAAGCTGAGCAAAGGCAAACTCAGCTCGATGCTTCGAGGCAGTGTCCGCCATTTGGAGACGCCTATTCCGCTCATGTTCGAGATCGTCGCGTAACCCTTGCGTTACGCGATCAAAAAGCTCTCGGGAACACACCGATCCACATGATCGTGTGGAGAGCGTCTTTCCTCCTCCTCCACCTCCATTAGAGGACTCTCGCGGTGGCCAGCGCTATCCTAGTTGAGCAGCTGTTGAGCCACCGCGACGTGAACGGACGTCGGACGAGTTATCTCGTCCGGTGGCGCGGCTATCCCCCGTCCTGGGATTCTTGGGAGCCCCGCTCCCAACTGATGATCGACGTACTGGGTCTGGTTGAGCAGTACGACGCGGCACATCCTGTGCCGCAGAAGGACCGCCGGAGAAAGTCTTCCCGGCACGGTCGTAAAGGGATTTCAGGTTGTCAATCCCTTCGTACATCTCACTAGAGATACGTACGCGCCACCACGGGCTGGTAAGGAGGTAAGCCTCCTTAGGTGCTCGTGCAGAGTTGTTCACACAACACGGGCACGAGTCTCCCCAAGAGAGGCAGGGTAATCCTTTCTCCCTTGACAGACGATGCAGCTTGTAGCGTGCACCTGTCGGGGTTCGCTTTTCAAACTTATCACGAGCTTTGATAAGTTTGTCGTTCCAAGCGTCACGACCTACATCCTCAAGGTTATGGATGTAGGCGTTCCACGCCTGAAGCAGTGAGGGACCATCACGCTTGTGATTCCCACTGTACCATCGATGTCTAAAGAAAGCATCGATGAAGAATTCGTTTTCAGCGCGATAGTTTTTCGCACTGGGGTCAAGGTGATGGATCCTTGACGAATCGAACAACCGTGTTCGATAACGATCACTCGTCGTCGCCGACAAGTGATCCATGACAGATTTCGGAGGCATCCATGCCTTCTTCTCAGGAGCGAGACGCAAGACATTGCGATCCCGCTCTTCCTGCGATGTGCCGACAGAAGTACTGGCACCTCGTTGCGAAGTGGTGTCCATAGGAGAACCGACACCACTGTGAGCGCCCGAGTCTCGCGACCTCGAGCGCCTACGCTTCGGCGATGGTTCATCTGATGAATCAGATGAACCAAAGATGCTGCGACGCAAAGCATCGCCCATGCCACGCTTGGCAGGCGGCTTAGATTCAATCGCCGTCGATACGGATCCGTCATCCGTATCAGGAGAGTACGAGACACCGAGCTCGTACTCTGTGAAGACATGAGTGTCTTCATGACCAGCGCCTGCATCACCAAGTGACACAGGCTGGGTCGCTTCAGCAACCGATGAGACATCAGTTGCTGTGGTTTCTGCTTCGGCGTCCGCACAGAGACGTGTGGACGCGCTCTCGGAGGCCTTGCTCGCGCACCGCATGGGCTTGTTAACCATGCGATGAAACTTATGGACTGTGGACTCGGACCAACAAGTGCAAACCCTGTCCCAAATGATTTGGGACGAGTATCCATTTAGTCAATCAGTCACTAAAGTGACTGATGGTTAAGGGGGTGATGTAACGGGGTGAATCGTTACATAACAATTTATAAGAAATTGTTGATAGAATATAACTATAAGAGTTATATTCTCAGAATATTGTCATAAGGACAAATATTCTGTAGCACTTACGAGTAGTTCCTAATTGGTTGGTAGAGGCCATTATATCAACCAACGAAGACGCGCCACGACAGACGCACGCAATGAGTGGTGAGCAGATAATTGATTTACACATTTGTATTTAGACATAGTTAGATGAAGATAAATAGTGATTTATTGCAGACATTAACTATACTAAATACAGTTCTACTTTTTACTCTAACCAAGTACTCGCTTCTTCTTACCGTCTTCCTCTGCACGTACCAGTGTACGTGAAGTTACGAGGCACCGCCTTATTCTGTCATCAGAATAAGTAGCTTGTACTGTCACCAGTACAAGCTTCAGGGTGCCGCGTTACACCTGGTAGCACTTCGTCCCAGTCCGTCCAAGACCCCGTTCACATCCAACATGAATATGTTGGATGATGAAGATGACCAAAGCTTTCACGCTACGCGTGACGGCTACTCCCATTTGAGCGATGTCGAATGGGATGCGGTTGAACGAATGGGTTCGACCATGGGCATCCATGCTGTTAGCGTCATGCTAAAGGCTCTCAATAGAGATGCCCAACATGCTACTATCGCCAAGTTCATTCAAAATGAACTTGACGCTGAACGCGAGAAAGTAGCCTTGCTTCACCAACAAGGTTCTCAACAAGCAGAGTTGTTGAGAGAACGAGGTGCTCAACAGTTTGAACTGTTGAGACAGCAGCAGGCTGCTGCTGGCGGGTCGATGCACTCGCGTCAACCCGAAACCTTGAAGATTGACATCTCCAAGTATAGGGGAGTCGAAGAGGACTCCCTCTTGAGATGGTTCGTCGAATTGGATGACGCCATAAGGGCGCGTCGCATCGACGACGGGGATATGCAAGTTGCATTTGCCCAGTCAAATCTGGCAGGACGTGCCAAGACTTGGGCACTGGGGCTCAAGTTGCACGACCCATATGCGTTTGGGTCGTTGGAAGTCTTCAAGTCGCGGCTCAGACAAACGTTTAAACCGCCTAGAGCTGAGTTCAGGGCTCGAACCGAACTCTTGAAGCTCAAACAGGGTAAGCGTGATGTGCACGCTTACGCACAACATATACGACATCTTACGAGTTGTATAAGTTCCAATCCGGTGGATGAACACACGTTGGTTTCGGTGTTCATGCAGGGTCTTGCGGATGGTCCCGTCAAGACTCACCTGTTCCGACTTTACCTAGATTCACTAGAACAAGCCATTTACATTGCGGAGCAGGAAGACGTCAGTCTGAGACAGGCTCGCGCCAGCTCAACATCATATCGTCAACCGAGACGATATGACAACGGAGGTCCAGAGCCGATGGAACTCTGTTATGTAGAGAGCGAGAAGGCTCGCTCTACAGACTACAAGAAGTTGCAGAGATGCAACAGATGTCAAAAGACAGGACACTACGCTTACGAGTGTAGTACCCTTCGTCCAGTGTCTCGCGACACTGGGCGTAGTGACCGTCCACCCATGAGAAAGAGGCAGGGACACGGGTCCGCCGTTGGTGCAAAAACGCAACAACGGGATGGACCGTCAAAAATGGACAGGATCAGTAGGTGCGGAGCACCCTACTGGTCCAGCAACGTCAAGAGAATTTGTAGGCCTCTTGATGAAAGTTGCTCCCAACACACAAACGTTGTGCGTTGCTGCTCTAGGTAATGAGGTCTCACTCATTACCTTGAAACTCGAAGTGACGAATAAGTTGTCCCTTCGAGCTCTAGTCGATTGTGGGGCGTCCAACAATTTTGTGCGACGCCAACCGCTGGAAGATGGTCACTTAAAGTTTGTTGAGTGTGACACACCTTCTATGAGGATGACGGTACGTCTTGCGAAAGGCGCATCCGTAACCGTCATGAAGCGTATAGCGAAGATTCACTATACGCTAGAAGATACTCAATGTGACGATGACTTAATCGTATTGGATTTGGATGACAAATTTGATGTCATCCTTAGATTACCGTGGCTCAGAAGGTACGAACCACGGGTAAACTGGCAACATCGGACAGTAACGATGCCTGCCGCTTGTTCATCAGATGGCCATCTGATGAACGTTTTGGAGCGTCCACAAGCGTGTGGATGTACTACGAGTGAGTGCGATGACCTCACTTGTGGTACGGTCGTTAGTACGACTGCACGAAACCTTAGTGTACCAAACGGTTACACTTCGGAGCAAAGTTCCGGCGGCTGTGAGGAAACACAGGCTGCGCCGAAGGTCCACCACTCGAATAAGTCGTGTGGACTGGGACAAAGATGTATCCCTAGCGGGGAACATCTAGAAGAGAAACAATCGATCGCTCAGGTTAAGCGAAACGATAATCCTAGATCGACTGGAGAGTCTTTCGTAGAGGATCTCGCTGTGGTTGCGCAACCCCAGCTAGAGGAAGTAAAGGGAATAAGTCCCAAGATTACAAACACGGCGGAAATAAGTTCCCCGAAACCCGCGGGAATAAGTCCCCGGGAAGCCGAAGGAATAAGTCCTTCGAGGCCTGAGGGAATAAGTCCCCAGGAAATGACAGAGACATTGAATGTCATAGTCAATAACGGATCAAGCGTAGGCGCTTATACACTTGATATGATTGCGCCTCCGAAGTTGACTTCGGAGATCACTCAGTTGCCAACGCTCGAACATAAAAGGTTCTTGCGTGATCTGCGTAGTGGCAAAGTCAAGCAGATCTGCGTACTCGTCGCCGACGACGAGTGTGTAACCGACATAAGGTCAGCAACAGTGTTTACTGAGAACGAGAGAGTTCTCAGTAGTTCATCTATGGACGAGAGTGTCCTAGATGAAAAGACACGAATTGAGCGATATGACTCCCAATCGTGGGAATCGCTCAAGAAAAATCCTCTCTATGAAGATTTGGTTGAATTCAAGGATGTATTCCCTGAAACTGTTCCGTGCGAATTACTGAAGGATAAAGGTACTCGACACGAGGTCGAGATTAAACCAGGCTCGAAGTACTGTGTCATGAAGCAGTAGCCACTGCCTCGTGAACAAGTACTTGCGATCGACAAGTTCTTTGCCGATCGTTTAGCTGCGGGCCATGTGAGGGAATCAACTTCCCCACATAGCTCTCCGACCTTCTGTGTGCGAAAAGCAACAGGAGGGTGGCGGATAGTGCACGCGTTTAACAAATTGAACGCTGCAACGGTACCGGCTCAGACGCCGATACCGAGGATGGACGTAATCATTGATGGTATGTCAAAGAGTACCATCTTTTCGTCCATGGATTTGATGGATGGCTTCTATCAAATCCTTATGCGGGAACGGGATATACCCTATACCGCAGTTAGCACGCCTAGCGGCATGCTCTGGGAATGGCTAGTAATGCCACAAGGGCTTAGTAATGCCCCTGCCACGTTCAACAGATGTGATACACATCTGTTGAGACCAGTACGAGAATTCGCGCCGAGTTATTTCGATGACGTATTCATCCATAGTCGAGCTATGGATGGAAAGTCGGACGTTGAGGTTCACAGGTACCACGTCCGACAGGTTCTTACAATCATGCGAAAGCATCAATTGTATGCTAACCTCAAGAAGTGTATATTTGCAGCAAGCGAAATACCACTTCTTGGGTGCATCGTTGGTAAGAACGGTGTACGTCCAAACCCCGAAAAGATCAAGGCGATTACCGACTGGCCTGTGCCGGTTGATGTCAAAGGTCTTCGAATATTCCTTGGTATAGCGGCTTGTTTGCATAAGTATTCACGCAATTACGCCGAGATGACTGTGCGCCTCTCTCGTTTGTTGAAAAAGAACGAGAGGTGGTTATGGAACGCTGAATGTCAGCGCTCCTTTGATGGTGTCAAGCAGAGCTTGATACAATCCCCAGTCCTAGCAATAGCCGATCAGGACAGGCCATTTCATGTGGTCTGTGATGCCAGCGATTTCGCAATCGGCTGTGCATTAATGCAGTACGACCTAGAAGGCGTTGAACGCGTCGTCTGCTATCAGTCGCGTCAGCTGCAACCAGCTGAGCGGAACTATCCAGTGCATGACAAGGAACTCCTTGCCATGAAGTATGCACTCGCGAAGTTCAGAGTCTATCTATTAAGAGATAGACCCTTCATTGTTTACACTGACCATGCGTCATTACACACGGCAGTGAACAGCTCGCACCTTTCGCAATGAATGGCGCGGTGGTTGTCATTCTTTGCAGAATACAACTTTACGGTTGAGTACAAACCAGGACGACTTAGTGTCGTCGCTGATGCACTCTCACGTCGGCCCGACTTTGAAACAGTCGTGAAACCCAACAGTGAGACAGTCACTGTTGCGGTTATGACGTCCACAATGCCATCTCCAACGTTACATGATGATGTGAGGCGGGCATACGCCCAAGTTGGTGAGAGTGTGAAGTTGTTGTCACATCTCTCCCAACCATCTCGAGAATCGTTGAAACGATTGTCGCCTGCGTATCGATCTGCATCAGATCGATACACTACTCGTAACGGTTTACTGTATTATATAGCTGTTACTGGTGACACACCACGTGTTGTCATTCCAGATGATACTGATCTGCGTTTGCGGATCATGTTCGAGTATCACGATGCTCCTATAGAAGGACATCGTGGCCGGGAGAAAACATATCTCACGGTGAGCCGGGACTTTTACTGGCCCCGCCAGTATCAGTTTGTGTGAAAGTATGTTCGCGCATGCGAAGTCTGCCAACGAGTGTAGTCAAGTCCTTCACTGCTTGCACCTTTACAGCCTCTACCGGTTCCGGCTGAGTGCTGGGAATCCATCTCAATGGATTTCGTCTTCGGGTTACCCAAAG